TGTATGAACTCAAAAGAGATATTAAACTCATAAATAACTCATCAATATTCTGTAGTTGAGCGAGTCTTTCTTTAGATGAAAATCAGTTCGAGATCTTCGAAACTGTCCTCGATGATGTCGTCGATCTTTTAATACACATAATACCAATAATGTAGCATACAGTACGCATAAAAACAGGACTAAAACAAGCCATCGAACACACGGATCGTGACACACGGTGAGCTGCTACCACGAGTACGTAAATAAATCATCATCAGTCGTGGTAGCAGTCGCGCTGCTCTGCGCTATCGTGTATAATGTTAACGAGACGCGAAAAGTGGCCATCGATGACGTGCGTTGCGCAGCGCCGGCCCGTTAATTATAATAATTTATAGCCGATCGGCTAATTAAAATATCTAAATATGCCGCCAAATAAGATCAGAAGCAGCTACATCGTGATATCTTTCGCGTTACTGTCTGCATCCACGGACACGTTTATTTTATACTCATGCGAACGTCTATGTGTGCGTATAGCGAGACGACTTGACTTAAATTAACTGTTATGCCTCGCGTCGGGACGGCTACTACTTATACTCATTATAGGTATTGACCGCATAATGCAGAGATTTATCATTCGCAATGAAAATTGAAAAGATATATATTTAAGGTCGTTTAATTAATTTGTTTCATTGAATATTACTTGTTTGAACATTTCAAATCGACCGCCACGAAAAAACACGTTCACGAAATAGCGAATCGCACATACATACATGCCCGTTAGAGAATTGGCTTTCGTAAAATTTCTACGTTATGTACACGTGTCTATGGGCAACAACGACGAGAGAAAGTGGAAAGAAGAAAAGAGGAGGTGAAAAGGGCGTTGAACGAGAGAAAGAGCTCGGACTCGGTGTAAAATCTCGATGCTGTGGCTGCTGTGGAAGTGCAGTTGCTTGCTAGAGACAGCGGAAGAAAAATAGCGGAAGTCATCGACCTCCAAGGGGCTATATATCACCGAGCTTGCAATGGGCGGACTCTCTCTCGCTCTAGGATGGAGAAAAGCTGCATATATACATACACATGCGTGATGTTGGTTGCGCTCTCTCTTTCGTTTTCTCTCTCTCTCTTTCTCTTTCTCTCCCTCGCACGCTACATATATATTTCTACTGCACTTATGTGAATAGCTTTGCTCGCTATTCTGGCTGCTTCTATGCTTGTACGTACGTTCGCCTATGTATATCTATACGTGAAAAGGGGTGTGTGCGCGAGCTCGAAAAAGGCAACCGGTGCGAGCGCGCGCGATGCTCGAAAATGAAAAAGAGAAAAAAAAGCATCGGGTTCGGAAAGATATATAGAAGAAGCGGACGCAGTGGGGAAAGGACGATGGAGGAAAAAGGAAGAAATTTTCGCGCTAGCGTACTTTTTTCTTCGGCATATAAGCTAGACCAGCTAACAGCTGTTTAAAATTTTGTTTTTTTTTTTATCGCTTTGAACAATTTGGTTTTTTTTCTCTTCAAATTGTCTGTTACGTCGTGAACGTGCGCATAAAACTCAAAGAAACAATGACGGATGTGTTGTCGGTAAATTGTCGTCGTGATCATCGTGTCACGAAAAAAAATTATGAGTACGAACGCAAACTCGATGATGGGCACAAGCTGTCAGATAAGTTACATTACATGCGATTGTGTCCCTCGCATCTGTGGCGTACAAAATCAAGCTCGCTTCGCATGGATGACCAATATATAGTTTGGAGTACTGCGATTGTTTGTCGAGCTTCCGCTACACATTTCCGACTTCCTGCAAGCATTACCTTGTTTCTATACTGGACCCCTATACATACCTTCTGCAGAATACAAGCAATAGTCTCGAGAAGTTACGTGAGAATTCGAGGTTGTTGTTACTAAAGCTTTAGCCTCAATGAGTATGCCTATGCGTGTAATCGCAGTGTAAACCTGAGTTGTGTCATTGATATTCATTTTCTATCATTTTTATGTACTTCGCATTTATTCCTTTACACTGGCGTTTATCAACGAGGATAAGTTCTACAGTCTCTTTTAATCAAATGTTTTAACTCTGAGATATCTGTAGTTGTGATAGCAGATGAAAAAGGCTCTTGTACCTTATCTTTGTTGAATTGCTAATTCTGATAGTTACGATCGCTCGAACCATTCAGCCGCACACGGCAGCAACGTTGCAGGGTGTTGGCTGCCACCGCAAAAGCTTCGTCCTCTCGCTAGTGGTTTCCAAAGCTGCTGTGCAACCGTCTTCGCCCTCCTCTTTCTGCGAAACTCTCTTGTCAATGCTCCTCGCCGTGCAGCCATTCATGCAGAAAGTTACAGAAAGTCAGACTCGCACACGCACACACACACACACATACACACACACATACTCATATGAGCACAGGTTGCACCGACTCAGCCACCGTCACCGTCGCCTAGCAAACTTTCCGAGAATGAATTTGCAGATCTGCGTATGTGTAGCTGCGCACGCACACTTATAGGTTATACACACGCAGAGCCATAAGTTACGCGACTAATGTCGTTCTCATGTAACTCCCAGGGATTTCTAGTTGGCGCGTAAAAATCTAATTACTTTGCGCGTTGCACTTGTGCCTACGCATGCAAACGCAAAACCAACATAGCGACTTTTCTTTCAAGATAGAGGGTTATATTTTTGTTTTTTCGATATTGAATTTTCTGTGTCGAACTTCGCGTTCGAAAAAATTCCCGAAATTGTCTAAGATATTGACTTTTTTCTACTTTTGAATTGAAGGAAAAAACATTCACAAGCTGGCTTTTGTTTCGGACAAAATAAATTAAGGCTTAACAGACGAGACGAAAAAAAAGTAGACTTCTTATTTTGTATCAACCAAATACTTTTTCTCGGCTTAACCCGTTCTTGACAATTAAGGAAGAACTTTTCTCATTCTTTGGATTATATCTATTTCTCAGTATAAATAAATTATCACGCGAGTGTCCTGTCCAATGGGATTTACTAAATACACTGTTGGCTAGTTTATTGTATTATCGCGAAGTAGCACCGTTTTTTACCCCATTTTCCAACTTCCCTTAATCGCAATGATGAGGATCTACTGCATTTTAAATTGAAATCGTGTGAAATTTTTTAGATTCTAAATTTAATAGCTAAATAGAAAAAAATTTTCAGTCTTTTTCATAACAACTCTGGTTTATTACAACACTTTTTGCAATATCAATTTTATTGAAGTCATTTTCCTGATGTTTCATGTAAATGTAATATTCGTTGAGCTCGGCAAGTAAACCGGCTGGACATTCGTAATCAATTTGTTAAAAGTTGCCGAGTTGGACGATTCACTTGTCCAACCGAGAAGAAATTTTCTCCTCGTGTATAATATCACGTATGCGTGTACGTCGCAGACGTAAATGTACGCGCGCAGGACAAATGAAAAAAAAACTCGAACTCGGTTCGGCTCAGCGTGACTAATGTTAAATCACAGTTGGCGATCGTGTGCAATAATCTCAGACGAAATCTTTCGCCATTTGTGCGTGCTGCTCGCATAAATAGCTTTCTATCTGGTCATCGAATTATATACGCACTGCGCGAGCTTTGGTATATGTGCGTGGTGTCCTTATGATGCATATAAAAGGTGCAAGTATAAAACTGCGGCGCGAGCAAGAGCAAATACGTAACGAGAGAATTTCATATCACCAACGTATAATCCGAAAGACTCGTCCATCTTGATTTCTCATCTTTCTCTCTCTCTCTCTCTCTCGTTCTGTTGAAAGTCCCTCACGTCGTATACCATACGGACTAATCTCGCCTCAACTCGTCCTTTTTTCCTCGTATTTGGTACAAATCTCCTTTGCAAGGATTATGATATAAGAGTGCTTACTAACTGTGCGCTGCTTTCGTAAACTCTGCGAAAGAGAAGGGGGGAAAAAAGCAGATTTCATTGCGATAAATAAATCGAGGCACCCAAAGGTACTCCTAATTATCACCGAATGCATAAATAGCTCTCTCGGCCGTCTTATCTCGTCAAAGATTTCTCGATTTCCTCGCAAATAGTCTACTTGCACGCGAGGTACCCCGCTGCGTTTAGCTGTGAGCATCCCTCGTTAGTGGAAGCTCGCTGTTACATATATACATGAACACGCATACATGTTTGTACAATTATAATCAAGCATGGAGCTATTCAAAAGCGAGAAGAGCTGCAATACCTGGATAAGCTCATTTCTCGAACGGCTACCGACGTAACCCCCGAAGCATATAATAATAATAATAATTTATACATTGCGCACGTTCAGATCGCTTCACGGATTTCGACTCGTCGTGGTCAAATTTGGCTTAAAATCTGATTCAAGGCGAAAAGAGCAGTTTCCTCGCGCGTCATCGGATCGATCGCATCGTTGAGTTTTATAGTACGTCATAGTCATAAATCAGAGAGACATTCATCACGTTCTGACAATATTATAAGCAACAATTTCTTCCTTATAATAATTCGTTCCACCAGTTCATATATACTGTCATCGCCACTACTTGGGTAATAGCTACGCGTGGACCCCCTTTCTCTATTTCTCTAATAATATGAAGAGATTCTGTCTGCGCCGATCAACTGTCGCCCCCTTTGTAAGCTCGCGCGCTTGTGTATGTGTACAAGTTTTAATGTCAGTATATCTTAATATATATTGCTGCGATAAATCAAGAGCACTGATTGTCCGAAAGCATCCCCCGTCTATGCGAATCCCTTAAAACACAAGAGATCCCGTGCAATTTCTCTACTACCCTCATTCTGTGATTCTTCTTATACATCTAAAAATGTTTTTGTATATTTTCAATTTTCCATTCATTTTATTATAATTTTTCATGTACCTTTAAAGTATTATTATTTTAACTGATGTTATAATTTATCACAGAGTAATTTGTTTTAACCCATAACGTGGAAAAATAATTTGCAAGATAGCTAGACAAAATATAAATATGACTGAAAAGAAAATTTAAAGTTAATCAAAATAGTGGAAATTTATTTTAACCCATATAATTTTTAGTGTTTCCGGGTTTAACGGGCTCACCAGCTGGAAATCTTGATACTAGCTACATGATGGACGGACCACCAGGGAGTCTCATGCAGCGGCCACTAGGCGATCCAGGCTATGTCAATCAGTACCACTACCCACCCGAATATTACGGACATCATTTATAAAGGTGAATGTTGTTATGCATATTGCACATGTTAAATTGATTAAAATCAAATATAATTATTACATATTCTATTGATCATGCATTGCTGCGCATGTTTTGATATAATTTAAAGTTATTATTAAAGATTCAATGAAAATGGAAAAACTAACTCGGGCATGTTTGTATTTATGTTACAGTTGGATGAGCGTCTAAGGAGAAACATGAATCGCAGCAACAACATCACAACTACAACTACTATAAGATAGAATTATAGACGAAATTTATAGTACATCACTTTTTCATACACACACATACACATCAGGAGGGCAAATATGATCCCATTCCCTTTGTCATCACAAAATGCCACATACGTAACCAACGGTACAATGATCAAAATCAGAGCTACTGTGATACGTTTATCGCAGAGACGATTTTAGATACATAGACGAGACACAGGCCAATTAATCTTGCCCCGAGTATGCATTCTCACCTGTGATTTCACGCAATCCCATTTGCTACAATAATTGAGGTGACGAGTTGTGTACGGCGAGCAAAACGGCACAAATAAAATTATTTAGAGCCGTTGGTTTTACGCGTAGCAGTCTCATTATACATATTTATAATATAAATAAACAAAAAAGGGCGATGTTGACAGCGGACGATTCAATGAGTAAAACTTTCATGTGATTGTTCTTTGTACAAATATTTGCGGTGTATAATTGTAGCGATTAAAAGATAATTGAATGATAAATTTTAATACGATCGCAATTGAGAGACTATATTACGATAATTATTTAATTGAGGATTACGTATAGTGATTTAGGAAAAAAATTTTTAGCGGACATGTACATTACAAGTGGAACACAAGTGGAACCTACAAGTGGGAATTGTCGCGCGCAAATGCACTTACTTGCATTTTGTATAGGTCGTTGACAAAAAATGGTGAATTTTTTAGTAAAATTTACGCTCAGTTGTCCTAATTAAATTTTAATCGTTCAAATGAATTTGCTACTAATGATGATTGTTGTTTTGATTGTTGGAATTGAATGAATAATTTTAAATGAATAGGATATTGTGTCAAAAATCCTAGAAATTGTATATTAATTGAATTGTATGTATTGGTACTGATGAGTCCATTTTATAAGAATTTCAAATAATGAAATCCAATAAAATCAATATGATGAACCTAATAAAATAAACCTGTTTATGATTTTAAAATAAAAGTATCCAACAAATTACAACGCTCTCAGAATGCATCATGAATGATCTATTGAAATCAAAATATTAAAATAATTTTCATTATAATTATTAAACAAGAGAATTATTTAACAATATTTATCTTCTATGGAAGCCGTTAGATTTCTTTAGTCAAACCTTTTCTTTTTTATGTAGAATCATTGAACAATTATAATGTGCAGCATTGTGGATGAGAAATTGCTCTGATAGATTAAAAATCTACTTATTACATTTACTGTCTGTACATAACTCTGTAAAATTTCTCACATCACGGATTGTGTATTATTCATTTTATCGTTAGTTTTTTATTATTATATCACCATCCCTTTTTTTACTTGTTAAAAATTAATATTTTATTAACTTAATATTCTCTTTTTTAATAATACTATCATATCTTTACTATTGAATTTTATATTTTAAACTCAATATAAATAAGTATCACCTAACACTCTTCGTGATACACTACGTCTAATGACGATAGATTTTTTAAATCTACCTTGAATTCTCATTTGCAAGGACTTTAGAAAGTATAAAGTTTCAATTCGAAAATTGCATCTCCATGTGTAAGTATTTTTTTTATTTTTTTTTATAGTGGACTTGTTAAATACCAATTTTTTGTCAACAACCCGTATAAATACAAAAATCGAGCAGATTTTCAAACAACCTTATACAAGTCAACTCACACACGTATACTGTAAGTAGAATGAAAAGAAGAAGCAAAAGAACGCGCGAAAGAAATCTTTCGATGTTCTTTCGACTCGGACTTTTTTTTCTCATGATGAAGGCTCTGACGTTTCTTATAATCTACATAGACGCCTTTGAATGCTTCTCTCAAGTTTTCTGTACCTCTCTCTTTCGCTTTTGCCTCTATAACTAAGAAGGAAGAGGACGAAGTGGAACTGAGAGAGAAAGAGAGGATAAGAGAGAGAGGGAGAGAAAAAAAAGTCACGAAGGAATTTTTAAAAGAAGATGAGGCCTCTTGCGTAGAACTCCTCTGTAAAAGTGCGCATTGTGCATATTGGCTCGTGCTTTGCGAATGGCGATAATATGCGCACGCGTCGAGAGGTGACAGCAACGGCAGTAACAAAAACGGATCTAAGTTAAAGAAGCAAAAACAATGCAAACGAGCAATCGAGAGGAAAGAATAAGAAAAGCAAAGATAAAAATAAGAAGGTGTCGTATTGTGACCACATATGCGTATGTATGAATATATACACATAAGCGTGTATGAATGTATACGTATATATTCATGTATACACTCGCTGTATAAAATGTCGACGAATTTTCCTGACGCACGCAATAGGAATATTATTACGAATCTGTACAGTTTTTAATTATATGATATAAATAATTTTACTTATTAAATGCAGCAACAGAAAGAAGGTAAACTATTATAAATATTATAAATAAAATATTTCATAACTGTGTGCAGATGAATACTGCCCTCCTTCACGAAGTGAAAGACAGATGTTTTAAAAGAAGTAATCAAGGTGCATACTCATCTGTTTTCTGTACATTAAATGATGCATAGGAGGAATTTTGAAATACATTAAATATATTTAATGGACAAAATAAAAAGCTGGAAAAACGTAGGATCTGATTATTTCCAATGAAAATAAAATTGGAAAATTATGCTATAATAATTCTAACGATTGAGAAAAGACGAAGAGAATTTTTTGAATAACGATGAAAGAGCAGTATAGCGATTTAAACTACTGCTCGACGGAAATGAAATTCCTAGAAAATAATTAAAGTGTTAACGATTACGATTTACATTATATATATTATATATACAAAAATATTAATTATAAATAGTTAATTCAAATTGAGAATGAGTGCGCGTGTGTGCTTTTCTTATTATATTTATGATGAATTGTACCTTTGAATAAAAAGAGTCGACAGAGAGAGAACGAAAGGAAAAAAGAGAGTGTGTGAAATAATATGTGTAAATGTACCAAGTACAGAGAAGCGCTTTCAAGACTATCTTTTTCTTTTTGGTTTTATGTTTGCAAAATATTTAGGGGTGTATGACTGCTGCGTGCTACAGTGAGTGAATAGTGAAACAAACAGGGCAGCAAAGATGTACCATAGCAACTATACATATAATATAGTTAAAGCGAGTAGCCAGTGTATTTGGAGACCCGAAAGTACACACTCACTCAAAAAAGGAATAATAACGATAAATGTTCACGTTCGGTTCGTCAGAGAACATTTGATTTCTTTACAATACTGTTTTGTTGGTCATGCTTTTGTCGTTTGAAATAGATAACTCACTTACCTATCATTGTGTCAACTATCAACAAAAGGTTTGTAAATGACTACAAAAATATGAATAGTATTAGGGATATTAATTTTGAGAAAACCAATGACACTTTTTATACGATTCTTTTTTCATTCAATTTGAATTTAGGTATAACTTTTAGGGCGTTTTATAAAATTTTAAAAATTGTATCAAATGCTTGATGAAATGAATTTTAAAATCATTTTTAAAATATTTACTCGCTTGACCAACTGACACATGTATTTTACGAAATCGGTTAAATGACTTGTCTGCTCGATCTTTTTACAAAATTGATCAGTACTACTCTCGGTGGTTTGGTGTATTCGTTTTTATTGTTATTTGTGTAATTTAACATTTGGATTTTATTATATGTTTGTGTAAGCGTTTTTAAGGTTATTAGAATTATATTCGTTACATAATTATCGAAGTTGTTACGACTCGTTTATAAAAAACCACCAAAAAAGAGTGTGGCAAGGTGGATCGAGCAGACAAACAAAACTCAGAATAATTCGCCGAATAAATTGCTAAAAGCTTCATGTTATTGCCTTTTGTTACAGGGTTTTCACATAATATTCAACTATTACTGTTGTTAACAATGACCACATTTTTCTTTCCATTTTTAATTACAGAAATTATAGATACTTTCAAATTTTTCTTCTAGGAATGTTGTGGTCTTGTGGTGAAATGCAATTAATAACAATTTGCTATGTATTTTTTCGACGTGAGTTTTTAATTCATATCTTTCAACACGTATACGATTTACCAAGAAATACAAGACGTTACTCCATTGAGTGACGTGATTATACGATATCAAAATTGTTTATTAAAATGACTGTACATGAAAATATAGCTACGCGATGCGATTTGTCATTTGGGCTGTTCATTTAAATATGAGTTCATGCAATTGAATCATCGCCTTAAAAATGTATACGAAATAGCTATTAAGCTATCTAAGTAAATTTATACTTTGTAAGGTATTACAATGGGTACACAGAGTTTTTATCAACAAAAAATCATCGATGTCTCAAACGAGCGCGAAAAAAGCAAAGTTTTAAAAGAAAAAGTTTTAACAGATTTTGTCTAAATGATTAATTGTAATATACAAAGAGTGTAAAAGTGTGCTTCAATGGGAGAGTATGATATTAATAATTTTAAATAAAGCTTGTGGGCGTGAGGTTATCTGAAGAAATTTTTCGAGAAAAAATGCACTGTATGATCATTATAATTGCATTTAAACTGCAATGTTGGAATCACACCGAATGACGAATCTTAGGTGTCATGAAATAAGAAATTTGTTGCGATCACTTACTGTAAACATTTATGATTAATGATGATGTATAAATAAGATAACATTCATTATATCGGTATGAAATCTAACTTTTTACTGGTTATTATTTTTTTCTTACTTTTATTGTTCTGAACCTTTACCTTACATACAGTTTTTGATATAATACTGGAATACTGGATAAAATATACAAAAAGGTACTTATATTTACTACACATTCTTAACTACCGCTTAAGTTAACAGCAATCCAAAACGTGGCGCATCTTTAAAATGTTGATCGATGTACGATGCAACAAAAATAACCAAATTATTTCAAAGTTGATCCATTACTATTTCTCTTTCTTGAGCTGAATTTTCACAGTACATGACAGTGGAAACTGTGACCTGCAGCAAAATACGCGAGGCAACATGGGTTGCAAAAAAAATTTATTTCTAAAAATATCGAAACATACGCGCGTCGAAAGTATATAGCTAATAATACGTAAAAGTATAAAAAAGATGAATCGAAAGGTGCATAAATTTACAAATAAAAAATGACCTATGTATAAGTATAGGAAAAAACTTGTGCAACGTAGTAGAAGATTTTTAATAGAAAACTTAAAAGAAAAGATTATTTGTTTTATCTTCTCATAAAAAGTAAAAAAATAGTCTATAACGTGCGTGCAATGTGGGGTGATAATAAAAAAGTTATACACGCGCGTTTTTTTTTTGTATATCTTCACATTATATTTTGATATCAATGTTGTGACGATGCTAATTTGACTGCGTCCATACGTCTCAAGCATGGCCGTGAATAATATGTTCTTAACAAGCATATGTATACGTATAGCCAAGCATTACCCAATCTTAGGTTCAAAGTCGCGCGGGAATACTTATTATACTATACACTAACATTCATATGCAGACACGCAGGCACAGTGTGAATCATATTAATGATGGGAAGGGGAGGAAAAAAAACGTGGATAGCGAAGAATAGTAATGTTCATCGAAATCTAGGTTAGAAAAAGTGTCCATTGTATAGTGTTTTTTGAAACTTAAGCATTAAATGCTTGATCTTGTGTATAAATGTTTTGTAATTATTTCGCTTTTACGCATCGATTCCTTACCTACTTATTCCCTAATCGCAAATGGTTCTTCATTTATTTTTAAACATTTTTCTTGCAATTTTCACCATCGCTCACCTATCGAAAATAAGCGAGTTCAAATATATACAAAACTGCAATATCAAATCATCTCCGATCGAAAATTCAACGCGCAGCTGTGAAATTTTTCGGTACCGCAATGCATAATATCCGGACTACGGGGCTTGATAAAGAGTGGGTGTGATGGTTTGTTAGCAAGCCGTCAATGATTTGGTCTCGTCGTTATATCTATTATTATGCAGCCGTAGCGT